CTTGAACTAGCTGATTTAAAATCTCTTTAACAACTTGTAAAGTAACAAAACTCATCAGACTAGCCTAAATGAAATATCGGCACAAAAATAACCAAATATGTCTTGGCTAATGAATTCACTGTCTGCACAGCTTCTTTAGAAGCGTAAATAAATACGAAAATATATCTTTTCAATAGGTTTAATACACGAGCGTTTGGAGTAATGTAGAAGATTATTTTTGCGACATAAATCGATATCAACTTTACGATCTCGAGCACTACATTCAAAAATACATTCAGTTACTCCAAACACTCATAAATTATCCTTCACTACTTAATAAATCTTATATCCACTTACAGTATTTCTTTTCTCAATTCCGTTTACAATAAAAACAAATTATTGAAATTGCTGAATGCTTTAAATGAAAATCGAATAAAAATCTTGTGCTTGAAATATATTTCAGTTACCCAGACCATAGTTAATAGAAGGAATGGTTAAGAAGCCGGTAAACATCAAAGAAGCAAACAAACAGGCTAAGATTTATGTTGGAAGGTCCTTGACCCTGCACATCTTTTGTTTCATACTCACTGACTACGCATGAATCACATAATCGCGATGCTTCTATTGGTTAGTCTTATGAGCGCACATAACCACCTTTTGTACTATTTTGCCAGGTATTTTTGCAGGGTCAACCACCACAACAGCAAACAAAAACATACAACTAAGAGCTTTGCGAGGTTTCGTAACCATTTCCCTCTATTAACTATGCCCAGACCATTCACTTTTTCAGACAGGCGGGACGCCTGGGGTAGTAGGTAGAATTTTTAACGAAATGAAAGCAAAACGTCACAGTGAACTTTTGAGGAATTGACCAATTCACAATTTCCGCCATGTTGGTTTTCATACTACAGTTGAACAGTGCTTTCGTATTATAATCGTTCATTTTATTTACTATATTTTTTGACTGCGGTTTTCGTCGTTCAGTTTTGTTTTCGTCCAAATGAAGAGGTCGAATTAAAAGAATTGTATTGTATAATGCAAATTTAGCTATGCGGTCTGCAATAAGCACAAAAAGTTGGTAATTCTCGAATAATCGGCTCTCTCCAGAAGTTAAACTTATTTGCATCAACCACAATTTGACCCACATGTTAACCATTAATGAAATTTTTAGGTTATGCTATACATTGACTTATTAACTACACAAGCAATCAATTAATCTTTTTAAAAAACACCGAAGCTGATTTCGGTTTCAAAAACGGTCGATGCCATTTTTAACGGTCGATGCCATCATTGGTAACCACGCCTTTGGTTTGCTTACGGTTAGCTTTTAATTGATGGTTGGGACAATTCTATCATTACTATTTAAGAAAGTCACGTTTTCTAATTAAATTTTGCGGAGATTTGGCGAATCAACCTGGTGTGTAGTGGTATCAGAGGGATGTTAGGAAACAGAGGTTCCGGGTTCGATACTAAATGGTTACTTACAAATTTTCGTTTTTCTTTAATTTAGTAGAGAAAAATTCGTTGATAGTTAAATAAATTTCCGAGTATCGCGAAAATGGCATCGACCGTTTACGAAACGGACAACTGCAGCGCCGAAATTAGCTCAGATTTCTACTAACCACGACAGCAATGAAACCATAAGGGTCCGTTCACACTACGCCGGAGAAATTTGAAAACGCAGCTTTATTTCTACGGTTAGGCCTACCGTCTACACTAATCCGTCACGAAAACGAAGCTTTTCGAAAACGCTCGTCAAACCTGAGGATTTTGAAAACGCCGGCTTTTCGTTTTCGCTTGGATCGAAAACATTTTGAAAACAGAGCTTTTTGCAAATGATGAATCATGAAGTCACGATAATCATGTGATTTCCTTGAGCGAGTCTTAGCCAAACACACATCCAAAATGACCAGTGGCTGTTGCGTTTTTAAGTTCCTACGGCGTAGTGTGGACGGAAAACATTTGATGCGTTTTCAGAGTGAAACCTCCGTTTTCAAATTCTTCCAGAGTATTGTGGACGGGGCCTAACATAACTGTGAAATTAATTTCATATTGCTTACAAACTCAGAAGTCGCGTGGTCAATTTGCATTAAAACTAGAAAACCAATATGGCGGCTATCGAGAGTAAGACTTGTTTACAGTATTAGTGGTCATTATTTTGTTTTTTCTTCATCATTTTCATCTCCTTTCTCTGCTTCTTGGAGGGGAACGTCGTCACTTCTCTCGCCATTAACAGAAAAGTAGACGTACTTGTAGAAATAGGACATAATCATGAAGATGATCATTACCAGGGATAATAAGCCAGCAAAGAAGAAAAACTCGTTTGCCTGGAAATGAAAAAGAAATAATCATTATACTGAGAAAACAAAATAGCAATTGTTCAACTTGCTACGACGCTGATCTGAGGCAAAGCTTAAACCACAAAATCAGCTAATGTAGCATCAAAAATTGGAAATAAGACTTTTTTCTTGACAAGTCACGCTACATACTTTTATGTCACAGAACACGTCACGCAAGCGACAATCATAAGGCCTTATTTTTTTGTTTGGGGTGGGGTGAGGGGTGGGGGTGAGGACATACACCTTTGCCTTGACCAGAGGAAGCCCAGTAATGGTAGTAACCTTTGGAGAATGACAAAGGAAGGCGGGCAAGAAAACGGATTGAAATTTGAAACATGGAGAACGCGCGGCTACAATTCTAACAACTCTGAAATTCAACAGTCACTGTCAATTTAAAGGAATTTTGAATCACTGGTTACGTTCTGAAGAATTACGAAGCACACTTATAGCCGCTATCTAAACAACACCCCTGTTCTTACCATGTTATCCGTGAGTCTCGCTTCAGCGAATATTACAACAATAGCGTTTCCAACAGACACAGTCATAAGCCAGCCAGCCATAACACACGACTTCATGCTGACGGGAGCCTAATAAGGAGAGAGATTGAGAATAAACTGCCATGAGAACGTCAGTGAACAGAGACAAGTGTAAATCCGTAAAATGGTTCAACATTTGGGTCTGAGAAAGCTGTTGGTTAACGACAGCAAGCCACAACAAGTCACCCACGAATAAGTGATTACCACTTAAGGGTGACTTTCTCAGCATACTATATTCTCGGTTTGCGGGAACGGTGAAGGGAAACCTCTTGGAAGCAAAAAAACGCTTTTCAAAACAGTCCAACTTCCCATGCACAACATCAACACGAAATAAGTGCCTGCTAGAAGACGCTCCACCGTCAATGTAGGACTTTTCCACTCATTCAAAGGCTCTTTTTTTCAGTTTAACCCAAGTCACTCTAGTCCAGTTCCCGCCCTCTGTCACGCATTGCTTCGCTCTTACGTTGCGTGACAGGCAGTCAGCTGGAACTCTCTTCCAGTCATTGAAAGGCGCTTTTTATTACAAGTTTGACGCACGTCACTCTAGTCTAGTTCCGGCCCTCTATCACGCAACGCTTCGCTCTTGCGTTGCGTAATAGGAAGAGGACCAGAACTGGGTAAAGTCAGAGGGACTGAGCTCCAGAGGCACTCACCTGAGAGTAAGCGAACTCCAGCCCTGTTATGGAGAACAGGACTTCTCCAGCTGTGATAGTGACGTATTGAGGAATCTGCCACAGCATGGAAATTGACTTGGGACTCACGTCTGCAAACTTCTTTATTATTAGCTGAAAGATTTGAGACAATGAATTAATCAAACAGCCTAACCTTAACAATAGTTGCAACCGTTTCAAGGCAAATCTAGAGAGAGATCATGTTTCTGGGGGAAATCTCTTCGCTGCGTCAGCGGTCAGATAATGAACCTTTTCGTTTACTACGAGCATGTATTCAGACCCCTTGTAGACACATGATGTCTTCACGACAATTAACATTTCAAGACGTGAAAGGAACTTTTACTTGCTAAATTATTACGATTTTCCCTGACTTTTCTTCAAAATGTCCATTCTCCCTGACTCAAAATAAAATTCCCCGACTTTCCCTCACCCTGAAGAATATTTTTCCCCGACCATTTTCTAACCTGTGGCCACCCTGAAGGACGCAATGCCATTACAAAATACAACGTAAGATTTATTATAACCACAGAAATACAGAACGAGATCTTCATTGAAAGGAAAAGCCAACCTCGCTAGTTTTGTCGGGATTTGGTTGGATGATAGCACTGTACACGCCACCATTAGCAAAATACACCTTCTGATCCAAGAGCTTCGTGTCTGTACCAGCTGTCATGATTTTTATTGGATACCTGAAAGGAAAACGTGACACAAAGAAACAACGCTCAGAGTAACGCAACGTAATACAAAGAAACAACTTTCAGATTAACTCAACGTAACACAAAGAAACAACGCTCAGAGTAACGCAATGTAACACAAAGAACCAACGCTCAGAGTAACACAACAGTCGCTGTTTTATGCCCAACTCAAGAAAACGTGATCTGCTGTACCCATACCAAGACGAAGTACGAATACTTCCTGAGAAAACGGTGACCTTGACTGAAAAACAAACGACGGATTTTCAAAAAAAAAAACCCCACTTTTTTCTTAGGCCCGGTCCACACCACGCCGGGTGAATTTGAAAAGGCAACAATCACCGGTCATTTTAGATCTGTGTTAGAGGCCTTAGAGTTTCCGTCTGAAGAGTTTTGGGTCGTCCTGTAATACTGGTATATAACTACGCGAAAAATTACAAAGTAACCTACAGTTGTAATAATCCCGATTTGTTCTCTTATTCTCATTACCCGTATGCTTGACTATGAATACAAAATGTAAGAGGAAATTAGATGCTGATAACTTACTTCTTTGCCAGTAGTTTCTTATATTCGGTGTTCTTGAAAGGTCCGACTCCACTGTACCTCAAGGTTTTGTTGAGTTTTATGTCCACAGACGGTGCAACATCTCCTCCAGCGTAAAGAAATCTGGAAAGTTTAGACAACCATCAGAAAACGCTTTTCATGTACAGTTAGTGCAAGATGCTACCTACGATATTCCTGTAAACCTCAGATTTTCCTGGCTTTCTATGTTCATTTATAAAAACTGCAAAGGTAACAAAGCAGGGCCGGTTGTCCGAAGTCCGATTAAGCCAACCCAGGATTAGCGAGAATTTTGTAACTTTTCCTTGAGGTTTTCTGTTTATATTGTTTTCCCTTCAGTTTTGAGTTTGAATAGTCTCAAAGTCTCAAACTACACAAAACATAAGCAGTAAAAAGCATTTTTTATACAAGAAAAGTTAATACTTCTGTTAACTTTCAATCCTGGGTTAGCGTTAACCGGCA